ACCGGATCGGCAAGGACTCTCTTTGTGGCACCCCCTTCATGTCTGCAGAGAAGGGCCTGATTCTGCGCCTACTCCAGCCTTCCTTCTGCAAGGAGTCTCTGCCCGCTTTCTAGGCTGGGGTGACAGTTCCCAAAGGTCCTCCATGAGCTGCTATTGCTTTTATTTATTATTATTTTTTAAAAAATATTTTTTATTGGTTTTTACAAAAAATATATATCTAAAATAATAAAAGGGGGGGCACTTCTACCATATCCATATATGAGATTCTCTGAATCTCGTGACTCCCCCCGTCCCCTGCATGGGTCCTTAAAACAATTCTTCTGAAACCACTTCGCATTACATTCTCCACATTTTCCATTCTTCTAAGCTGTCCATATTTTTCGTTTCTTTACAACGCATTTTTACAGTCCAGCTAACTGTATTTTTATTTGTATACAACGGTCCCCTAAGTAAATTATGTTGTTGTTTAGTCGTTTAGTCGTGTCCGACTCTTCGTGACCCCCTGGACCAGAGCACGCCAGGCAGTAAATTATAATCCCCCCCAACTCTTTTAAAAAGTTGCTATTGCTTTTAGAGCTCCAGGCCGTGAGTAAACCAGCACACTGGGGAGTTTCCTACTTTGCAAGGAGTTTTCAAAGTAAGGAAGCATCCGAATGACGGTTCTTCTCCCGTCTCCCATTCCCACAGCCTGATGCTCAACCAGCAGCTTCCACGATCCCTTCCACACTACCTGGGTACTGAGCCTGGTGTGGGGCAGCCCCTCTGCCCTTGGAGATTCCCACCCCTGCAATATTACACAAGCGCTGCCTCTGTTGCCCTTTCAGCGACTCTTGAAGACCTTAGCCCTTTAAGCGGAGAAGGCTCTGCATCTGCAGTGCAACGCTATTATTATTATTATTATTATTATTATTATTATTATTATTATTATTATTTTATTTACAACATAGTCCACAACAACTCATACATACAAAAAACCCCACCACCATTGACAATTTAATTATCAAAATTAAACTCCTATCCCCTTACACAAAGAAAACATTACATAAAAATAAAAGACGTCCTTTATCCTGTAAATGGCCTCCTTGTTTACTTCTTGTGTACTGTTTCTTTTATATTTGATCATTACCATTTTTCCTAATTATGACTTTAAAAACCGCAAAGTCTCTTATAGAAATTAATTGAAACAGGTCCAGCTGTATATTTGGGGGCAATGTTTGGTATTCTCTGCATTTCCCCCATTCTCTTTGGAACTCTTGTCTAGCTTGTCCCCTAATTGTCTCTGTTAATCTGGCCAATTCAGTATAATCTAATAATTTATCCTGCCATCCCTTTTTTGCTGGCACAAATTCTTTTTTCCAATTTCTGACAATGAAGGTCCTCACCGTGCCTGTGGCATAAAGGAATATTTTTTGATCCTCTTTTGCTATACCTGTGTCTGTTATTCCTAATAGGAAAGCTTCTGTATTTTTTCAGAAAATTATATTTAAACATATTTTTTAAGTTCATCGTATACTATATCCCAGAAGCTTTTGATTTTTTCACAGCTCCACCAGATACGTATAAGTGTCTCTTCTGCACCTCCACGCATTGGAATGCTTTCAAAGATTCTTCTTCCATCTTATAATTTGGCGACCTGGGCTCCTCTGGAAGGAAGGGCCAGATACAAACCGAATAAATAAGAAACGAATTCTTGGCAGAGGCTTGCCTGGGGTGCCCTGAGCAACTGCGCCCCTGCCACCCACATGCCTTGGCCAGGCTGGAAGGAGGGAATCCGCCAGGCGCAAGGGGGGGGGGCAGGGGGCCTGGCACCAACGCCCAGGCGCTCTGAAGACGACCCCAGAGGAAGAGCGAGGCTCGTGCCAAACGGGAGCATTTCATCTCCGCAGCCACTCAGCGAGGTGGCTGCAGAGGGCATCTTGGCTCCAGCATTGCAATTATGAATCACAGCACAATGACACCAAAGGCGCCTGGCGTGAGGCATGCGCCCGTTTCAATCATGGAAGTACGGCAACCCTCGTTGGCGGCTCTTCACATGCCGGTCATGCTCCTAACGAGCAGGGGGTCTGAACTGGGGGTGGGCGGGTAGGGAGAGGAGACTGGGTGCCTCTGCGCATGGTGAGCACAAACACACACACACACCCCATCCCTGCTTGCACATGACCAGGCGCTCAGGCAGCGGGTCAGGGAGACGGCAGCGACCGTGCAGCCTGAACACAACCCGGCAGCCGGGTAGGGAGAAAAGAGAGGGGCAGGTCTTACACCAGAGGAGAAATATTGGCAGGCAGGAGGGTGAGCCCCTCCCATCTCCAAATCTCCACACTGACAGATTAGTCAGCAAACGGCTCTTGGCAGCCGAAGGAGGGCTTTGTTGGGGGCTATCGGCCGGGAACTTCCGGGCCAAGACCGAGGGGGGATCTGGGGGTAGCTGCTGGATCAGGGCAAACAGGGCAGGGGCACCGGATGCTCCAAGAGGAAGCCCATGGAGACGGACCTGAGCGCAGCAGCAGCAGCAGCGATCTCCTCACTTGCGATTCCCAGCAAGTGCCATTTAGAGGAGGGCAGCGCAATCTTCGCCGGAGCCAGGAAACGGTGTTGCTGTGAACATGCCGTAATCAGAGCCCTTTTCAATCAGGCAACCGCCTCCCCTTCCGAAGGTTATTTGCTACATCAGCCTCCCCACAAGCTGACACCCCCTCCGGGGGGGCCTTGTGAACACCTGGAGACGGAGATCAACACCCGCCGACCCCTCAAGCAGGCGCAGGCACCACCCACAGTCTGCTCAGGGCCCCCGCAGCACCCCCACCCCCTTCTGTCTTCTCGCCAAACTTGGGACACAAATGGCCAAAGGGCTGAAAGGATGTTGAGCGCCGCTTGCGCCTCTCTGTGCCCACATGCGAGAAGGTTCCTGTTGCTGCCTTTGTCCCAGCGGCCGGGAGAAATGTCTTCCCTTACCCACAGGCCGTCCCATAGGGGCTGACTATCGGCCAACTACGGCCGGGCCTTCCTCCTCACGGATTCCACTTTGCTGGGCCAGCAGAAGAGGCAGCCTGCAAAGTGCGCTGCATCCTTCCGACAAGCAAAGTGCACGAGATTCGTGCCACACCAGCTCAGAAGCCGGCGTGTCCTTGCCAAGGTAAGGACGCCTTGCGGAAGAGATTAGCAGCCACCCAAGAAGCGGGAAAGTGGCTGGGGAGGGGGCGGAAGGAGATGCATTTCTGCAGTGGGCCTGCGTCTGAACTGGCAGATCGAGACCCCAACTCACTCACATCCCCAACATGGGGGTGGGATTTATTTACCTAGACCCTCCACTTGAGAAGAACGTTCCCCAAGTCGCCTGCCCTCAACGCTGCCAGCCCCTTCCCATTACTACAAGAAGGCGCAGCAGGAGAAGTCTGGAGTCTTCCCAAAATCTGAGAGGCAGTTACAGACTTGCTTCACTCATTTTTTAAAAGCACGCTCAGGTGTCCTAACCAGGGAGAAGCCTCCGTCATCACGAGTGGCATCTGAAGCCCTGGCATGATGGGAGAGGGGTGCAAAGGAAAGAAGAGTGCCTCTAAGCATGTACAGACTACTTGTCGTGCACACCTTGAGAACCGAGTCCTTCAGCCACGGTCACAACCATCTCTGAAGGTCCACCCAGTGGAGTAACTGCTAAAAGACAGGGCTTGAACCCGCCTGCTGAGAGCCCCCGCCTGGTGTAAGGGGGGGGGCAGTGGCAGCCCAGCCCAACCCCTGGCAGAGCAGAACCACCCTCTGGGGCTGTGCCAGTCCAGAGCACCCAGGCCCCAGCACAAGCAGAGCGAGGCAAGCGCAGGAAGGCCCTGGGAGAGACCTTTCCGCTGGCAAGGCAAAGCCGTCCAAGTGACTGACGGCTGAGAAAGGTCAGCCTGTCCGAGGCTGGCAGCTTTGGGTGGCACAGAGTTTCGACAAGGCGCCCCAGCAGTTCCTGAGCAACTAGCCCTGATCCAAAGCCAATTTCAGGCTAACCGTTAAGAGGGGCAACGAAGGTCAACAACGCAAAAAACGATCCATAAATATTCTCCTGCTTGGAGCCGGGAGAAGAACGTTCCAGGGTCATGAAACCAAGGCGGGCATTTTGTCAGGGAGGGTGGCATGTGGCTATGGTGTTTGGTGGGGTGGGGGGGGCAGAAGGGGCAGGCATCAGGGAGGGAGGGACCCTAGTCTTCCTCTGCCTAAGGACACCCACACACAAATCCATCCACTCTCATCCCAGGCTCAATTCCTCAGCTTCCCTCTGCCTGGAAGAGGCCACCTGTTCTGAGTCCGTCCCCCATCCTGAAACAAAACCTTGGGCAATTTGGGGAGGGGGGCCTCTGGCAACCTCAAATGCTCATTTCCGCACATGCAGATGAAGGCGGCTCACACCACAAAAGACAATAATATTCTGGTGCCAAAGAACCACGCACAAAACCACATTTTGCCAAGTCCTGGGAAGGGAGGAGGCTTTGGGGTCTGTGGGAGCACCAGCCCCCCTCCAAAGTGACCCAGAGGCAGCTTCACGGGCTCAAATGCGAGGAGACTTCCTCCTCCCTCCCCAAAGGAAGCCCAAGGCCTCGCAAAACCCTGCTTGGCCAAGTCATGGGGCTGCTCCTGTGCCGCCTCCCCCGGCACCCGAGTTTGTGGCCCCGTAAGCCCAAGTCCCTCTGCCCACGAAGCCCGTTGGACCCCCGCGGAGCCACACCCTTAAGCTGAGCCCAGTCTGCGCAGCCGCAACTCGCCGTTTGCCAAGCCCGGGCCAGAAAAGACAACAACTCTCCGCGCCATCCCACCTGGCAGCCTCTCTCTCTTGAGCAAACCCTTGCCCGCCTGCACGGATCCTGGCCCAGGAGGGCAAGAGCGCTTTGCAATGGACCAGCCAGACTCCTCCCAGCCTGGGAGCCAGAGCCTCTGGCCAGGCCGGCTGCTGCTCCACAGAAAGACCGGAGGAAGGAGACGACCGGAAGACAACACCCCCCCCCCTTGCAGCCCTGGCCCCCTACCTCTCGCTGCAGCACCAGCTCCTTTGTGAAGAGAGTGGCCTCCTCGCTGAAGGGCTCCCCCTCCTGGACCAGGCCGGGCAGGTTTCGTGCTCCACGGGGACATTCGATACCTGAGGAAGGAAGCAGAGGGGCAGGGAGAGAGAGGGAGAGAGAGATTTTCAGTGAGCTTCCTTTTCTTTCCTGACTTTATCAAGTTCCTTCCATGCTAGGATGGATGGCCGCCCGTCAAGGATTCACTCATTGCAAGACCAGATGACTCTTTGGGTTCCTTCCAACAAGACCTTTGGAACAAGGATGTTTCCTCAGCATCACCCAACCTGGTATGCCCCATGGAATACTTGAAGGTCCACAAATGACAACACTTTGGAGGTCCCAAGTCGCAAGGTGGTTAGATAGGTCTCAGCTAGGGCCAGGGCCTTTTCAGTACTGGCCCCAATCTGGTGGAACGTTCTGTCTCAAGAGACCAGGGCCCTGCGGGACTTGACATCTTTCTGCAGGGCCTGCAAGACGGAGCTGTTCCGCCTGGCCTTTGGTTTGGACTCAGTCTGACCCTTATGTTTCCCTCCCTTTCTGGTCTTGATCTATGGACTACTTTTAAAAATGTCGCTGCATTTTAAATTGGATTTAAATTGGATCCCCCCCCCCATTATGTTTTTACTGTAATTTTACTGGTGTTAGCCGCCCTGAGCCCGGCTCTGGCCGGGGAATAAATAAAATTTTTAAAATCATCATCATCATTGAGAGCCAGAAAAGGAGCTCCCCACAAAAGGAGCAGACACCCAGCAGGACCTGCCCTGGAGGGGAGGCTTGCCAGGACCGCCTGGCCAGGCCCAAGAACGAGCCTTGGAGGCCGCCTGGCCAGGCCTGGGGTCCCCTTGCAGCCGCCCCCCTCCAGGACTGCCCTCCTCATCCTCCCAGGGCAGAAGGTTCTCCTCTGCAAGGAGCCCTGGACAGACCTTGCTTCCACCGCACCCCATCCCTGAGCCGGGGGGGGGGGGAAGGACTCCGAGTGCCAGAGGCTTCTGGGGAGGATCTGGGCCAACCGACAGGCACCCCAGGAGACAGAGCAGCTGGAAAGGCCGGCACCCAAGGGCCTTTCCGTGGGTGCAGATTGAAAGAATAATTTATTATGTCTACCCCGACCATCTGGCTGGGTTTCCCCAGCCACTCTATTAAAAACACAATAAAACCTCAAACATTAAAAACTTCCCTAAGCAGGGCTGCCTTCAGATGTCTTCTAAAAGTCAGATAGTGGTTTATTTCCTTGGCATCTGATGAGAGGGCGTTCCACAGGGCGGGCGCCACCACCAAGAAGGCCCTCTGCCTGGTTCTCTGTAACTTGGCCTCTCGCAGTGAGGGAACTGCCAGAAGGCCCTCGGAGCTGGACCTCGGTGTCCGGGCTGGACGATGGGGGTGGAGACGCTCCTTCAGGTATACTGGACCAGGCTGTTTAGGGCTTTCAAGGTCAGCACCAACACTTTGAATTGTGCTCGGAAACGTACTGGGAGCCAATGTAGGTCTTTCAGGACCGGTGTTATATGGTCTCGGCGGCCGCTCCCATTCACCAGTCTAGCTGCCACATTCTGGATTAATTGCAGTTGCTGAATCACCTTCAAAAGTAGCCCCACATAGAGCGCATTGCAGTAGTCCAAGCGGGAGATAACCAGAGCATGCACCACTCTAGTGAGACAGTCTGAGGGCAGGGAGGGTCTCATCCGGTGTACCAGATGGAGCTGGCAGACAACTGCCAAGGACACAGAATTGACCTGTGCCTCCATGGACAGCTGTGAGTCCAAAATGACCCCCAGGTTGCAAACTGGTCCTTCAGGGGCACAGTTATCCCATTCAGAACCAGGGAATACCCCCCCAGTCCTGCCCCCTGTCCCCCCAAAAACAGTACTTCTGTCTTGTCAGGATTGAGCCTCAATCTATTAGCCGCCATCCATCCTCCCACCGCCAAGAGGTGCTGGCACTGCTTATCTCAGTTCAAACATGCCCTTATCAGTGCTCTCCAGGAGAGAGCTTGCCAGGGGAGGCAGAGGTGGCAGGGGCTACTGGGAACCCTCACAAATGCCAGAAGTGGGGCCAGTGGGGAGAGGTGGAAAGTTGCAAGACAAGGATGCAAGGCTCCAGGTGAGACAAGTCTCCAGTGCCAGCCTGTCAGGGGCTGCCCCCTCCACCCCCAGCCTCACAAGAGCAGCCACCGCCGCAGCCGCCCTCCTGCCAGGGGGCAAGCCCCTGCCCCACAGCGGCGGAAGCGCAGTCCCAATCCACTTTCACGCTCCGGTGCCTTGCCAGGAGGAGGAAGGCTGGAAGGGAGCCAACGCGAGCCACTTTGGGCGGCTCCTTGGCGCAAGGCAAGGGCGCCCGGCCAGCCTTCCCCTGCGAGGCCGCTCAAAATAGCCCTGTGATTCCCTCCAAGGCAGCGAGAGATGCATTCCGCCTGCGGCTCCGCAGGCTCAGCCCCGCGCATGATGATCAGCCGAGGCTGAAGCTGGCTGCCGAGCCGAGGCTTCCGGACGGGAAGCCATTTTTCCCTGGAATAATTTAAGGAGCAATAAAGCCGGGAAAGCAACCGCTGGGACATCACCTGAAATAAAGGTTTAGTGAGGCGGATGCGCCGCTGCCACAGAGAACAAGGAGGACGGGGGTCCATAAAGGAGCTTTATAGCAGCTGCAGCGGCATCTGTCAAGAGCATCAACCACTTGATGCGCCAAACGTCCCCGCTGGGGAGTTTGGCTTCCTCCCGGGGGGAGCGAGGTGGGGCGGTTCGAGGCAGGAGGAAGATGTGGCCCCAGGGACTCTGCGGGCGCAAAGGGCCGAGGGAGGGAATAAGCGGGGGGGGGGTGAGGAAGGGGTGGCCCTGCAAAACCCCCAGATCCTAAATTCAGGCTGGGGCGGCACAGAGTCCCCGGCAGAAGAGAACCTGACCGGGAGCAGAGAAGGAAGCCCCCTCCCTCTCCTCCACAGCCTGGACACCCTCCTTTCAATGTTTAATAGGTTATTGTATTGTTCTGTTGGAAGCCGCCCAGAGTGGCTGGGGAAACCCAGCCAGGTGGGCGGGGTATAAATAAATAAATTATTATTACTATTATTAGTATTATTATTATTATATTCACATCATGGCTTGGAGGCACCCAATCGACAAACTTTCAAAACGGAGCTTCTGGCAGCGGTTGCAGGGCCTGCATTGTGGATGGCCCCTTCCAACCCTGCAGTTCGAGGATTCCTGTCCCAGGAGGCAAGACTCGGCTGCTTTGCTAGATCCCTTGGAGCTCAGGGGGCTCCTTTGGGGACGACCCAACACCTGTGGGTCAGCAAAGTCTTGGGGCTCCAAACCTCCCCCTTCCAAGCAGCACAAACCATGTTTCCCGGAGGGACCCCCAAGGCGCAAGGGGCAGCAACAGAATCGTAGAGTCGGAAGGGACCCCTAAGGGCCATTTAGCCCACTCCCTATGAGGCAAGAACTGCTGCTAATGCTTCTCTGACAGATGGCCACCCGACCTCTGCTTGCTGTTGTTGTTTAGTAGTTTAGTCGTGTCCGCCTCTTCGTGACCCCCTGGACCAGAGCACGCCAGGCCCTCCTGTCTTCCACTGCCTCCCTCATGCTGGTAGCTTCGAGAACACTGTCCCACCATCTTGTCCTCTGTTGTCCCCTTCTCCTTGTGCCCTCCATCTTCCCCAACATCAGGGTCTTTTCCAGGGAGTCTTCTCATGAGGGGGCCAAAGTCTTGGAGCCTCAGCTTCAGGATCTGTCCTTCCAGTGAGCACTCAGGGCTGATTTCCTTCAGAATGGAGAGGTTTGATCTTCTTGCAGTCCATGGGACTCTCCAGAGTCTCCTCCAACACCATAATTCAAAAGCATCAATTCTTTGGCGATCAGCCTTCTTGATGGTCCAGCTCTCACTTCCATACATCACTGCTGGGAAAACCATAGCTTTAACTATACGGACCTTTGTTGGCAAGGTGATGTCTCTGCTTAGAAACCTCCAATCTGGCTTTTCATGTGAAAGCGGTCTGCTTTTGCATCAGGCTCCCCACCTGGCAGGAGGGCTCATGAGATGGAGAAGGCGAAGGAGCAGAGGCCCAAGCGATGCCAGCTTATTACCTGTAATAGCTGCCTCTGCCAAGTGCTGGCCGGGCGCAGCCTGAGAGGCAGGGATTGTTTCTGCTACATGATTAGAGCCGCAGAGGCAGGTCAAGTGCCGATCCATCAAGATTTGTGGGGAAGGAGGAGGCACCCCAAGAGGGAGCCCAGGCAGGTGATCCTCTGCTGTTTCAGCTTCACCAACGCCGGGTCCCAGCCAGATTCCTAGCTACTGGGAGGAACGACTTGTCCCCCTGCCCAAACCATCCACCTCGCCTCTTCCAGGCCCCCAGGTTCAACCCAGGCCACCCGGAAAGATGGAGGGCGGAAGAAAGGGCCACAGGCTCCGGTGGCTCACAGCCCAGCCATGGCCAGCAGCCCCATCATCAGCAAGTAACATACTCCTGCCTGGCCCCACACACCTGGGGCAGCCAAACTGCCCTGCCTGGCCAGTGGGGGAGACCCACAGGAGACCCCTGCCTTGGGGGCACGCTCTCTCCTTCCGCTCACACCCAGTGGCTCTGCACTCCTCCTTGCAAAAAGGGGGACCAAGGAGTTTGCTAAGAGGCGCCCGTGTTTCCCTGCTCAGGCTGTCTGTCTTGTTCGTTGGTTTGCCGCTCCAAGGTCCCAGGCCGGGACGGAGCATCAAAACACAATATTAAGAACGCTTTAAAACAACTCCCAGCCGTAAAAGGAGGGGGGTCCTGAGAACGTGCGCCTCCAACTGCAAAGGAAGTCGGGGGGCAAAGAGGCGGGCTTTTTGCATCCTCTGGAAGCTGTGCAATGAAGGCACCAGCTGCAGCTCTGTGGGGAAGGAGCCCCACAGTTCTGGGGCTGCCATGGAGAAGGCTCCTTCCCCCCTGGGCCACCACACAAACCCCTGAGCCTCTGAGGGGGGAGGGACCCCCAAGAGGGCCCTCAGGGAAGGAGGCGGCCATTCAGGTATGTGGGGCTGGAGTCGTCTAGGGCTTTCAGCACCAATGGAAGCGCCTGGAACGGGGCCTGGAAAGAAATCAGTGTGG